ATTTCACCACTTTTCTACTACCTCAGCCCCGAAACACCGAATTTTCCAAGAGAAGCAGCACCACGATTCGCGCGCAAAGGAGATGGACTATTCCTTTTCCCTGGCGGTCGCACAACTTCGCCCCGCAGGATCTGTCTTAGCAGCTTCGCCTGGCTTGGGCGTTGAGGGTTTCCCAAGGGTCCAAAGGACCCTATAATTAGGTATTCGGTTTTAGGATAGTAGTTATGTAGGTTAGGATTTTGGGGAGTATATGCTTATTGGGTACATCGGTTGATGATATAAATCCTGCATTACACGTAAGAAGGAATATACCATTATTCCCGTGGTTTAGGGTCCTTAAGGTAATGCAGGATTTATATCATCAACCGTTGGACCCTTGGGGGTATATGGCTGCCGAAGAGCTGCGGTGCGCAAGTACACTCATAATTTGCGACTGGGGGAGTTTGGGTGTAGGAGTTGAAGACGCCCAAAATCGCAGGGTCCTGAAGCTGAAGATGCGCAAGAGTTTGGCGCGGGCACAACAACCAATGCTTCTACTAAGTGTGGGCCTGCGGTCGAGAAAACCTCTAGCTATACTACAAGTCTCGAACGAGGTCAGCAGAAGATGGTGATATTCGTTGTGAAGTCACCGTTGCCCCACAATAGGATCCGTGGTTTATTGTGTAGGGTTTTAATTTAGAACCTAAGCCCTAAACTTCCTAAACCAAAAGTGCACTACGGTTAGAGACTTAGAGCTTGAGTCCAAAATGTATACTAGATAGGTTTAGGGTTTAGGGGAGATAGATCCACGGACAACCCTGAACCTTAAACCCCTTAGGGTTTTGGATCCCTGGCCCAGGTTGCGACCTCTTACCTCGCGGAGCATGATCCCAACGAGGCGTTGAGTTTGTCTTTTGTGGTTTAAGGGGTAGGGTTTAGGGTGCAGGGTTTAGGGTTGCATGCTTTTGTATTTGACAGTTCAATTTTGAGCAATGGTGCCTCCTCTTAAATTAAGTTTTGTTTAAACCTTGGCTTATAGGACAGGGTAGCCTTGAATTCAGAGAAACCCTAAACCCTGAACGGTAGCCCTGAGTCAAGTCAGAGAAGAATCTAACACCTAAAGCCAATTCTCTGTTCGTCCCGGTGCAAATATCAGTTCGTAGCTCAGGGTTGCATCCAGAACCTACATCTCATGGCGATGAAAACTAACCCTAAGGATCTATGCGAACCGATAGGGCTATTTGCAAGGGAACTCTTTAATGGTACTTTAAGAGCTTTATAAAGGTTCTACATGGGTTTAGGTTACACAAGTCCGTATACCCCAATAGTATATACTTTGGCCCTAAAGTACCTTTGTAGGGACTACTTGAAGGCCAAAGCATATACTACATGATGGGTACATGGACCCTGAGGGTAATACAGTCGCCAAGGGTTGTGATAGGGCTTAGGAAAGACTTCGTTCGGGTTCCTTTGCAGGTTACTGTAAGGATTACTTCAAAAGGGTTCTATGAAGTAGATGCTGGAGGAATTATTCATCACGTTTTACCTAGGATCCCTAGTATAATCATAGTATAATTACCGTCAGCCCTATCCTGTTTATCCATAGATTAAGGCTCCTATGTGATGTATCATGTGATAGCTTCCTGTTGCAGGGTCCCGACCTCGATCTGCTAGGGCCTTTTAAATCCGACCAGGCCAGTGTCTTCCTAAACCCTACCTATAGTCTCCATTCTAGTTCCTTGTTGAGGTTACCTTATAGGATCCTTAATCTATAATTAGTTAAACCAACAAAAAGGAACTACAATGGAGACTATGGCTAAATCCTGAGCCCCAACGCTAAACCCTAGACCCAACCCCAAAACAAACAAGAATCACTGAATTCTGGCACCCGATATTTTGGCAAAGCCCTGAACCCTAGGTTATAATAATTGGAGTTATCAGTCCCATAAATGGGGTTGTCTTAATTTTAACCTACTTAGAGAATCTTACTTGCTAAGTCCCATAATCCTCTAAGTAGTGCCCAAAACTCAAGATCCTAAGATCCTAAGGGCCCGAAGTGAAACTCAAAGGACGAGCTTCCCAGAAGTCCTAAATCTGGAGAGCCCTTCCGAATACGAGTCCTGCATTTCAAACCTTGGCAGCATGTAACAGAAGCCTAAGTCATAAGCCAGTGAAGTCTAGAACCCTAAACTCTGAACCCGGAGCCGCAACCTCTAAATCCAAATCCGAAACCCTAAACCCATAAACCCTAAACTCTAAACCCCATACCCTAAAATCCCTAAACCCTAAACCCCATACCCCAAACCCCCTAAACCCTAAACCCCATACCCTACAATCCCTAAACCCTAAACCCAATACCCTACAATCCCTAAACCCTAAACCCCATACCCTAACATCCCTAAACCCCAAACCACCCAGCCTGTGTTAGGTGGAGGTCCATCCTTCGGACGACGGCCAGCGCGCTGCCTACAAACGGCAGTCGCCTCTTGGGTCAGAATTGGAGACTTAAGGTTTATAGGGGCTTAGGGTTTAGGTTTGGGGGTTTTAGGGGTTATAGGGTTTAGGGTTTAGGGGGTTTTAGGGGTTTAGGGTTTAGGTTTGGGGGGTTTAGGTTTAGGGGTGTATAGGGTTCAGGGTTGCGGTTTGGGGCTGTAGGGTTCAGGGTTTAGGGTTTGCAAGCAGCTGACAGATGTCGGTTAAGGTTGAAGGTTTAGGGTTTAGGGTATCCGTTCACATGCCAAACCCGAAAACCACCAACCCTAAACCCCTAAACCACAAACCGAAAGTCCAAATGCTTCAACGCCCAAGTCTCAACCGAAAGCCTGAAGCTCCACCCTAAACCCCAAGCGCGTAACCTGGCGGCCCACAACCCAGAGAGCCCAATTCTCCTTTATTAAGGAGAGTTTTGTCTCAAGCCATATTAAGAGTAACTATTAAGGCCCTTATTTGAGGTGCATTCCTGAATTGTGGGGTATTCGGCTCTCCGGGAACACCGCAAACCCCAATAAGCGTGAGCATCCAAAAGCCTGAACTCGAGACTCCGCTGTCCGAACCTGTCCTGCACTCAACTGGGTTGTGCTTTGGGATAATTTCTAATTTCCCTCATTTCCTTATAAAGGGAACCTACTCAGAAATAGTTTTCAGAGGGTTTAAAACATAACCCAGTCAAGATAGATTGTTCGCGTCTTGTGTCTTCGCTTTGGGGTTTCGGTTTCAAAGTTTCGGGTCTAGTCTGAAACCCTAAACCCTAAACTGTGAAGTCTAGGGTTTGGGGTTCTGAGTTCGGCTTGAGGGTTCAGGGTTTCGAGTTTCAGGGGTTTGGAGCTTCATGCTTGGAGGTCAGGGCTTAAGTCATAGGAGGCCAAAAGGGGTTTTAGCCTATGGGGGTTTAGTAGGGATTAGGGTTCCCATAGTAGGGTTCATATTCAGGAATCCTTAATCCCTACCCCAAGAAGCGAAAAAACCCCACTTTTGGCCTCCCATCATTAAGGTTTAGGGCTTGGAGTTTGGTATCAAGGCTTGAGTATAGGCGGGACAGGTTTCGGGCTTATGATAAGCTTTGGGTTTCGATTTTGGGGTCTTGTGGCCCTTCACCCACGACTCTAGACTCTAAGCATTAAAGTCCTGAAGCCCTAAACCCACATCCCTATACCCTCTAATTTCGGGGGTGGGTTTCGGTCTAGTTCAACTTAAGTTTAGGCTTTACCTTAAACCCGAGAAGCCTGCCAGTCGAAAGACACCCCAAAGACTCCAAAACCCCTTAATTAAGGAATCTACCTTAAATTATACTAGGAGCCCTAATATGATTTAAGGTATATTCCTTAATTAAGGGGTTTTGGAGGCTCTGGGACTGTCAAAAGATAGGTTTCGGGGTCCAGGTAGGGCTTGCAGGAGGCATTTGCAGGCAGATGTCGGAGGGCCCGCAAGTCTCAGGTCTTCAAGCATCTACACGTCAATGCTTCTAGGCTTGAGGCTGTAGGGTTTAGTTTGTCGTTTTAGGTGTAGCGTTCAGGGTTTGGTAGGGTTGGTTTCGGGTGTTAGGGGGAACCTCGCCTAGGGTTGATGGGCGCAACCCTGCAGTATGCATAGCAAGGAGTACCACAGCTCCCGTAGCCGACCCTGAGCCCTGTATGGGAGTTTCCGAAAATAGGGGACCCTAATGTAGTACCCTCAGTAGCAGGATCCTCATTTGTAAAAGCCTCAAAATAAGGTACCCCTTATTGTCGGAAACCCCTATCTCAGCCTATATCCTAAACCATGGAACCCCAGTCTCCGAAGCTTCCCTCCTGTGGACAAGCCTAAAACCTAACCCTGGAAACCTAGGCTCCACAACCCGAAATGCTAAATCTCTGAAAGTTGCGCGAAAGCCCTAACATTGAACTTTCAACAATTACGAGCACATTATTCCTCAGCGCTCCTTACCATAAGTGTACCCAGAAACTTCATTCAGATACTCAAGGTCCCCCGACACTCTAAACCTTAAACCCTATTAAGCCGACCCAAGACAGGCTTCCGGGCATGAATGGGGCACTTCAGCAGAATCTGGATGCGCTTGCGGACACGGGAGCGCAGGCAAGCAGAGCTTAGGGACGTTTGAGGGTTTAGGGGTTTAGGGTTGACGGGTTTATAGGGGTTTGGGGGTTTAGCGGTTAGGGTTTACGGGTTTAGGGTTTATAGGGGTTTAAGGTTTAGGGGTTTAGTGTTTGGGGGTTTAGGGTTTGAGGGTTTGGGGTTTTGGGTTTTTGAGGTTCTAGCATAGGGTTCGGGGTATGTGGTACAGGGTGAAAACATGAGTATGCCTACGTTACGAAGCATCAGCAAGTTGAAAAGCCCAACCCCTGAACCCTACGCCCCACCCCTGGAGTCTAAGGGACTTGTTAATCCGACAAGCAACGCGTAGCTTGGCAATTCGACTAGGATTTGGTGTGATTTCAGGGTATGATTATGCAGGGACTATAGTCAGGAATCAGGCTACATTGTTCCTGGTTGTTCCGACCCAGTTTATTCGACCTTTGATTGAGATGGTTCTGCCCAAGCAGGTCCTGCACAGTGTCGACGCGACAGACCTGGCTGGCACACTTCAGTCGCAGGGAATCCAGGTGGAACTTGGCAATGCATCGAACCCCCAAACCCTGACCCCGAAACCCGGAACTCTAAACCCCAATTACGCCCTAACCCTAAAGTCTATCCCCCCAAATCGGGCTTCCTGTAAGTTTATTGGAGAGCTTAGGGGCCCGATCCTGCAGAGATTTGCCGGGAGTTCTTTACGGTTCAGGGGTATTTTGCACGGGTTAGAAATACCCATACAGGGACTTTCATGAAGTGCATCTAAGACTCATTCTGTTCTATGGATTCCCATGTACTTTCAAGCCTGATCTGCGAATCTCCTTCACCATCGAATCCGACATCCGAAGCACGGCCCGAAGCCTTCGCCCTGTATTTCTTCTCCCCTAACCCTACTAACTTGGAGGGTCGGGGAACTCAGTAAGTAGGAAGTAAATAGACTTATAAGTATCCTAAAAGGGACCCTTATTGGGGTTAGGATACTTATAGAAGTGTAGAAAATGAATAGTTACTAAGTCCCCCGACCCTCCAAGTATAGAAACCCCTATAGATCCCTTAAAGGAGCCCCTTATAGAAACCCCTATAGATCCCTTAAGGGAACCCCTTCTAGAAACCCCCATAGATCCCTTAGAGGAACCCTAAAGCCTAAGCCCCCAAAGGAAGCTTTACTGAAGACCCGGGTCGGTCCTGAAGAGTTTCCGGCCGTCTCTGCAAGCTCCGGGTCTTCTTGGCATGGCATCAATGTTACTGAGCCCCACAAACGCCCTAAACCCTAAGCCCCATCAGCCCCAAATAATCTACCCGGTTGAAGCCTTAACAAATAAACAAGCAAATATATATATATATATATATATATATATATGTATATGTATGTATGTATATATTTATATATATATATATATATACTCCTTGAACGCAATAGATAACAAGCCCCAAAAAACATGAAGCTACCATGGGCAGGGAGGCTTCCACACCGTCGTCTTCCCCTTCCCACGATACTCCCTGAGCCGGGCGCCGAAGCCTGGCTGGGGGGGGGGGACTTTAGGGGCTGCTCGAAGGTTTACCTACAGGGGCCTTAATGATAAGAATAGGGGTCCGAAAAGGGGATTCTATAAGGGATCTATAGTAGGGTTATTCAACATTTAGGGCCTTGGAATAAGGTTTGGGGGGAAATTACACTGTGAAACTTTTATCAAGACCATCCCCCCCCCCAAAGAAATAGTTTAGGTATTTATTTAGCCCCCCCCCCAAAAAAAAAGTACCGAAGTTTACGGTTCAGAGGTAAGGGCCGAAGGCAAAAAGCTCCGAGCCCGAACCCCAATGAAGCAGAGGGCAAATTATGTCCGAGATCCCTACTCATAAAATTTTACACGCCCCGGTCGGGGAAGTCAGGTGAGGGCTTCTGTCGGTTAGGGTTGAAGATTTCTGCAGAGTGAGCGCTGTAACAAGCTGAAGAAACTGCATGAAATTTGGCAAATCCTCATCAGGTTTTGGCGGGGCTCTGGACGGCAAGCCTTAGCTTTAAGGTTTGGGCACCGGCCCGGAAGTGCTGCGTCGGAATCCCAGAAGGGTCCGGCTGTAAGCACCAAACAACCATTCATGGGATAGTGTTTGGCACCCAACCCCTTACAACCAGGAATATACTGTAGGACCCTTTCTGCTCGAAAAGGTTTTGGGGGTACAACATGTTACAAGTCTCTGTATAAAGAGACTGTAAGGGCAGAGCCTTACTTTGGAGGTAAGGATAGGAGTCCAACCTCTAAACTGCAGCGCTAGTATAGGGGGCCTAAATAGTTACCTATACTATTTTTTTGGGGGGGTCTCTTATTATGATTCTAGTAAACTGGGCCCCCAAGCCCCATTCTAATTATTAAGGTACCTGTACAACACAACAGTCTAATGATTATGCTCCAAACCCCGTTCGAATGACTCCGAGGTTGAAATCGTCCTCCGCTCAGAATGGCCCTTACAAATCCCTTCATGGACCCGTGACGCAGAAACCCAAACAACCGCCCCTACAGCCTAACCCCCTAAACTAAGAATGTCAATGTTTGCCACCAGAAAACGTTAACAAAACAATCATGACTGCAAGTAAATTCGGACAGATGCAATAACAGCCACAGGTTGCAATAATCGACACAAAATGGTAACGCATACTGCCCAAACAACAAAACTACAGGAAGTGAGCCATTACCGCCACAACAACAGTACTAATGCCAGCAGGCGGTTATGATTCACAGCTTTGCTGGAAAGCTCGTGGATCAAGGGTGTCTTCAGGCTCAGCGCTGTGCAATACGAAGTCTGTATCCCCCAAACCCGAGACCCCCAACCCCCCCAGACCTTCCAAAGTCCGTCAATTAAGGAATATACCTTAAATTATAGTAGGATCCCTAATATGATTTAAGGTATATTCCTTAATTAAGGGATTTTGGAAGGTCTGGGCCTAAACCCCAAACCCCGAACCCCGAATGCAACCCTAAACCTGAAAACTTATATCCGAACCCTGGGCCCTAAGCCCTGAAACCCAAAGCCTGGACCCCCAACGACTCTAAACCCAAAGCCCTAAACTCCAGGACCTCAAACCCCAAAGGCTGACCCCTCAACTCTGAACCTTAATCCCTGAAAGCCCTGACCCAGGAATCCCAACAACAGCCCCTACACTCTAAACCCTTAAACCACGAAGCCCTAACCTGGGAATCCCAACAACAGCACCAAAAAAATCCGAACCCCAGGAATCCCAACAACAGCAGACTGCTGCGGGATTTCTTCACCAGTGTCATCCGGGATGGGATCCTCCTGGCATCTCGGTTAACATCGGCTAGGACACAGAGTGGGCCCTTACTATAGGGGCCTAAATAATTACGTACACTATTTGGGGGTTCCTTATTGTGAATATAGTATAGTGGGCCACAAAACCCTGTTCTAATTATTAAGGCCCCTATATTATTCCTTTTTTTAGAGTTTAGGTTCTCTTATAAGCCCCTGTAAGAGCCATAAAGGGCACCCTAATAACTCTTGGAATAAACGGTCCAGGGTTTCCTGGGTTTAGCAGGGGTTTGGGTTTAGGGGGGTATATAGGGGAATCGATAGCTAATGAGACGTAGCAGCTCCGTTAACATCGAGGTTGGGGTTTAGGGGTTTAGGTTTCAGGGTGTACCTTAACCCTAAACATCCTACCTTTTTAGGGTCTTTTTTTATGATTTCCATATATGAGTCCTTAACAAGGTAGGATATTCTGGGTTAAGGTAGGGTTATAGGGTTAGGACCCATGGGGGACTCAATAAGTAACAAGAGTAGGGTTCCATTTCATTGGTTCTTGAAGAGGGGTCTGTAAGCGTTACTGCAAAGGGAATTATTATCAGGGCGTAGTGTAGGAACCTTAACAAACACATGCAAAAACGTTGTGTACTATGTGTATGTATATATATATATATATACTTAGCTTGTAGCAGCCGCTATGTTTTCCTTGCGCCGTGCCGAGGATGGTGGCTACATCCAGCTAGTCCACTCATCTGCAAGTTTATGATCCAGGGATTGGCATCTAGATGTAGAATCTGGAGTTTCAGGGGTTGAGGGGCTTGGGGTTCACGGTTTGGTTTGCCGCGTTCGATTTAGAGTTCGGGGGTTGGTCCCAAAAGTTCGTGTTCACGGTTCGGAGCTCAAGGTTTAGGGTTTAAGTTTATGCACGCAGTCTTGGGACAATCCAGAAGCGAATCACTTCTGGATCAACTACATAAGGTATGACGGCTCTAAGGAGGGTATAGGGTGTTTCTCCAAGCAGATCCCTGTAAGTCCCGCAAAGGAGCCTAAAGCCATGTTTAAAGGAGGGTCGGGTCAACTAAACCTGCATTCCTTTGGGCTCTGTATTATAATTATAGCATAGTATGATCCAAAGCCCTTTTCTACGTATTAAGGCCGCATAGCTGAGACTTCTTAGTCCTTAATGGTTACAATATGCGTTTCTATAACGAAAAACGTGGAAAGCATGGTTCGAGACAGCCCTCGATCGCTTCATCGTGTTTCCAAATTGGCTCCTTCAAAAGTTTCATTAAGGGTTGTGGATCTGGTTTCCTGGTTCAAGCCATAGTTGTGGTTTCCTATGCATCTCGCATGTATCCCGTATTAATTTCGTATGTTTCTCATGTTGTTATGAGAACCGCTTATTAAAAACAATTGTTCAGGTTCACATTCCATATCAAACCCATATGACTAGTACTGGTCCTTCGGTTTCCTCACCATTACACTTATGCTATACCCTTAGGTCCCTAGGTAGGTACTTTGGGGCCAAAGTGTATTCTATTTGGGCACATGAACCTGTAGGGATAGTACACCGCAAGCAACACCCTATGCTACTTATCAACGCCCCAATAAGCCCGCTGCACTCCTTCTCAGGGAGACCAATAATCCTGGGCTGAGGACTATACCTGAAATTCGGGTTTCGGGTCGTCACAAGGGCTTGCTTTGGGGTTTCATGGGCTGTTATTCAGGAATATGTCTTGATCCCTACGAGGCATTAATTTATATTGTTCTGATTCAAGGTATACTCCTTGAAGGGGTATTGGGCTCTCTGGTCTCAGAGAAAGCGAGGTTCGGAGTAGCGGCATGAAACAGTGTAGGAACCTGACTCAGATACCCTGGCCCTGTGACACCAATATACTAGGATGCATATAGCGAACCCTAGTAAGGACCCAGGATTTCTGAATCAGGTTTCTTAGCGACCTGGATCTTTCTGATATCCCCGACCCGGTAAGATTCAAGGAAAAGGGCTCGGGGTTTTAACGTGGGACTAGTAGTATATTGGTAATGTACTAGTACAACAGGGGGGGGGGGGCACGGTTTCTGCAGCACACCTTCGTGTTTAAGGTGTGGGCCCCTGACTTCCGCAGGCCTCCGAAACCAGGGGCCCACACCTTAGACCCCAACTAGATCCAGTGTTTCAGGCTGTGCAGACCATTGTTTGTCACCGTGCAAAAATCAGGGACCCACACCTTTGGCCTGGTTTCCTCTTTAGTTTAAAGGGATAGGAGTTGTGGGCCCCTAACTAATTTTGTCAGGAGCTTCGCCCATAAGTCAACTGCGGCATCAAGCACCAAAGAGCATGTATGCAGTATATACATGATATATACATTAATATACATGGTATGTGTGGCCCCAGAAATTAAGGGCCCACGTCAAGGGCCCACGGGTTGTGCCTTTGATATAAGCCCGCAGCCTAGGTTAGGTCCGAACCAAGGTGATGCTGAGCGCGCAGTATCAGGAGTGGGATGTCAATGGCGTCTCCACGGATGTGGGCCTTGAGCTGATCCTTGGTCAGGAAACCTAAACCCTTAAGTTTCCTAGTATAGGGGGCAATGAGAATTGGAATGGTCGTCTTGGAGGTCTACTTTACTATGTAGCTATACAGCGACAATGACGAAGTACGATTGCTACTAGTTCAGGCCCCAATATAGGGCCTGAATAATTGGACTAGGGTTTTGGGGCCCGTTATACTATCTTTATAACTATAATAACGAGGAACCCCCAAAGCAGTTTAGGTAATTATTTAGGCCCCGATAAAAGAACGTTGTTGTAGATCCTTTGTAGAACCCTGTCAAAGATCCCTTTAAAGGAGCCCTGTTCTGGATGTTGAGGCCCTGTGTTACACCCTCCTAGACCCCCCAACGACGCTCTATGATACCCCAAATACCCACTACGGTTGATGATAGAAATCCTGCATTACCCATAGTAAGGAAAGTACCATCATTCCCATAGTTCAGGGTCCTTAAGGTAACGCAGGATTTCTATCATCCACAGTATTACGATTACGGACCATAAGGGCGCCATTGGGGGGTTTGGGCTGGTTCAGCCTTTGGGGCTCAACCCTAAACCCTAATCCCTAAACCCCAAGATTCAACCCTGTGGAGACTCTCCGCTGCCCGCCGGTGTGGCTTATACCGGTTTTAGCATTCCCTAAGGGCCCTTTGAGGGTTCCTTTAAGGGTTCCTTTGAGGGTTCCTTGTAATATTGTGTGGGTGTAAGGGTTTACGGATGTGTGCAATGCTGGGTCCCATGAACTAGGTTTGCTTTGCCATTTTGATGCTGCTGCAGTTGAAGAGTTTCTTGGATTCGGGCTTAGGATGCGGTAGCTTCGGAATGTCTGCTTTGAGGCAAGTACCCAGAGAATCCAATATCCTTTAATGTAGAAATATACCTGAAATTCTAGTAGGATCCCTTTTTTGATTTAACATGTCTTCCCGAATTAAGGGATATTGGAGTCTCTGGGTATACGTAACAGCTCTAGGGTATCTAAAAAGCTCCGCATACCTGGAGGCCCCACGCCGGAAATCTCAATCCTCAAGGCATATGGCCTGCAAAGACTACAACCCGCACTGAAATTTAAAAGCAAAGCCCTAAACCCCTAAACTTCTAAGAAATCTTATGCCACCAAAACCCTAAACTCCTGTATAAACCCTAAACCCTTAGAAGTCGGAGAAAATATCGAGAAGGGTTTCGGTCCCTTGGTCCAGCGTCTACGATTGGCTAAGAGCTATGCCCAGGTGTGAAGCACAGGAGCACATCTCCTCCTACAGTATACCGGAATGCTCCTTAATTAAGCCCTACACACTATACACCCCAAACCTCAAGCCCTAAACCCTAAGCACACACAACAAAGCCTGAACCTCAAGAGCTAAACCTTGAACTGAGCACGTAATATAGGGGTCTTATTAGTTACCTATACTATATTTGGAGTTCCTTATTATAACTATAGTACAATGGGCCCCCAAACCCGATTATAATTCTCTCAAGTCCCTCGATTCAATCCCAAAATAAGCACGTGTTCCCCGGGGTTCGCTCTTTCGGATGTAGCGTGGCGATCGCTCCGAGGATCTCACGAGTGGCATTGCCGACAGACTTCTATCAGGCAGGGGATTTCGTAAATAATGTTAAACAGTCATCATACGTCAGCATATGTGGAAATAACATGAAATAACTACTAAGAAGACTCCTGAACACCTGAACCCCAGACCCCCAACTCTTTCAACGCCACGTCACTACGCCCCTCAGCCCCGAGGCATCACCTGGAACCAAGAAGACTTGCTTGTTCAGGCTTCCTTAGGGTTTGGGTTTAGGGGTTAGGGTTTAGGGTTGAGAGGCTAGGGGTTAGGGTTTAGGGTTTCCTTGTTTGAGAGGTAGGCTACTAGGCGTTAAGGTGAGCCCTACATCCCCCAACCCTACTTGGAGGTTCATGGGTAGTTAGAAGTGGGGTTCTAAGTCCCCTAATTTGGGTCATAATTACAGTTACCTTACTTAAACCCCCCCTTATAACTACCCATCGACCTCCAAGTATCAGGCGACATCGTGACCTTTCAGCAGCCCCAAAAAGGCCCTGAGCCAATCAATTGCCCCCAAAAATCAATTAAAGAGTTGTTCTACAGCCTAAACCCTAAAGTCCTGTCCTGGGATTTCACAATTAGGCACGTAAGGTCTGACATCTGAGTCCCTGAATGTCACCCTTGCCTTTTGCTGCAAGGCCACCCTACATCTTTAGGGATCAGCTTGTGTTGTCTAAAAACCCTACATCCCAGACCTTGAATCAGAAAAGGCCCTCTCTGCAAGGCCAGGAACTTTAAACTTAAAATCTGAACCCTTTTCCTAAACAGAAGCCCTGAGCTGCAAGGCAAGGGAGATGAGTGGCAAGCCCTGGGTGCCACCTGGCGCGGAGCTTCTCACCTTCCAGCTGCCCACATTGAGCTGAAAGAAGAACTCGTCTTCGGGCTTCATCGAGGGGTCGCAATGATTAGGTAAAAGTACCCCCTTGTATCCCCTACATAAGTGTTTCATGTATAAGATAGCTCAATGCCCTGTTGTAGTTGTTGCAGCTTCCATTTTGGGGTTGAGGGGTTCTTGCGTGAGGTGTAGGTGCCGTAGGACCTCGATTAAGGAGGGCCGCTTTGTTCGTATCAAGCCATTTCATAGGGGTTCCATTTTTCTTGAGTTGAGGGAGATACCTGAAGTTGCAGGGGCCGACACGTGTCATGGCCCAAGTTGATTGTTGCGATTTCTGGGAACATGATTGGATAATTCACGCCGTAGTGGACGATGTACCCAAATATAAATACACATGTATATATATATATATACACACACATATACATATACATATACGGCACATACGTTGGCCTTAAGGACCAAAGTATACACAATTTTGGGTACTTGGACCCTTAGGGTAACGACCCGAGGGCGGATCGGAGCAATCTCACCTCGGCCCTCGGCGTCGGAAGAAACTACTAAATCAACAACTATTTGGAGGTTCATGGGTAGCTATAAAGTTCCTTTAAGGGTCCCTTTAAAGGGCTCTATAAGGATTCTACAAGGGTATAGGGTGTAGGGCCTACTTGGAGGTTCATGGTTAGTTGTAAGTGGGGTTATAAGTCCCTCAATATGCGTTACCATTACAGTTACCCTACGAATGACCCCACTTACATCTAGCCATGAACCTCCAAGTAGCCCCTACCCTCGCAAGTGGTAAACCTCCAAAGGCCCACCTTTTTTGATATCTTCGTAGTATTTCTACAATTTTAGAGTTTAGGGTTCAGGAAGTCTACAATATCTAACCGTTTAAGTATTCATTCAAAGGAGTTTGGTAAAGCCTAGTGAATGCTGGGTGGGACGTCGCGCGGCTTTAGTTGAAGAGTTTGGGTTTCCAGCGTCTGGGCTTTAGGGATAGAAAGGCCTTCATGTATCATGGGTCTGCTTAAGCCGCTATCACGAAATCTAAGCCTTACAGGATTGATGATGAGGCCTTTTGCCATGATACGTATCATGGCTGCCGTTCGAAGGGTGCTAAGCGGTATAAGGGCCTACCTACGTCTTTAGGGGTAAGTGACGAGGACTTCCGAGTTGTCCCGGCTCTTTAGAACCAGATTTTGCGAACGGGTCGAAGACTTCGAGGGGGTTGGGGTTATGGGGCTTGGGCTCAGGCGGTTTAGGCGTTTAAGAAATGACCTATCTTTTCATGAGTCCTGAAAGGTAGGTTTTTCAGGGTCCGGGTAGGCCCTGTCGTGGTTTATCGGGTTTGGTTCACAATTATAAGTCCACACTGTGGTATTTGATTGCGAGTGTTCTAGCAAAGAAGTTGGTGTTGAAGGTTTCAAAAACTTCAAAGGGTCCTGGGAATGAAAGGAGACTTGCCCAAGCCACAACTTCTTAATCTAGAACCCCATGTCGGACCCGTTGGGAAAACCCTAGACCCCCAAACCCCTGAACAATAAACTGTCCATGCTTGCTTGGGTCACGTTGGCTTCCGCTCCGCAGTTTGCCAGCAGATAGATTAGAAGCATCCATGCCTCAGCACAAACTCACCCTGCAAGTAGAGTTGGGGGTCAGGGCCAGCTCCTCGGCCAAAGCTTTACAAAAGCCCCTCGCCAAGCAGATCTGGATGAATCGAGCTCATGCAGCACCTGCTAGCTACGACAAGGAGCACATTGCCATTTTTTCCGAACACTCGTTACTCGAACGTAGGCATGCACAATAGAATCCTTACCCCCAGCCAGGCCGGTTACCACAAGCCGCTACAAACCCACACAGAAATTCCAGCATTCTGCTCTCGCTGCGGCGACCTGGGCCCATCATCTGGGCCAGAGGCCGCACATGCAGCATATGATCAACCGCCGAAGTAATCCTGCCGTAAAATGCATGACGTATGCTACGTTTGGAGACATCCTCATGTTTGGACCGCCAACCCTCAGTAGAGAAGGACTTGTGTCTAGAAAATGTAGTCAGGGCACAGGAAAGGTAGTTGCAGACTGCTTGTTCTTGTGTTTAATGCTTATAGGCCGAGGAGCAACACCAGCAACACCCCTACTTATTCAGGTCTCTTAGCCTTAGCATACGGCTCGGAATACTGTCTGCATGTATATACCTAGTAGAATACAACTTCTTAGGGCCCGTGCATTATTCGACCATCATATTAACCAAATCCACAGATCATGTAGAACACCCTCAGATGCACCTTTACAAGTGCACACCCACGTGCCGGTTCAGGGTTTCGGGGTTGGTTCCCTAAGGGTCCATGTAGCCATATAGAGATACATGAACCCCAAAGTACCAGTATAGGGACTACAGTAAGGCCAATGTATATTCTATATGAGTATGGACCCTGAGGGGTTTAGAGTTTAATTATAGGATTTACGTACCCTGAACCCTGAATATGCTGAGGCCTGAGGCGGTCTAGGACTTTCCGGGCTTACTTATAGGGCTTCAGGGGTTCTTGGTTTAGGGTTACAGGCCCGAGGCGCCCCCCAAGAAGCCAAATAAGACCATCAACAGAGGCCATTCCCCTAAGGGTCCATTTCCTCATATAGTATTTATACATTGGCATTACAGTACTCCCGATATAGGTACATTGGGCCCAAAGTATATACTATTTGGGTACATGGACCCTTAACCCTAAACCCTTACAAGACCCTTAGAGAGCTCCTAAAGTACCTAAACTCTAAACCTAAACCCTAAACCTAAACCCTAAACCCTAAACTAAAGCCCTAAACCCCAAAACCCTAAACCCTTAAAGGAACCCTTAACCCCAAGCCCCAACCTGCAGAGGAAAGGTCTTGGGGGACCAGCCCTGAACCTCATCTAAGGGGTTTCCGAAATTGAGGGGTGCCTTAGGGTTCCTTTAAAGGGGTACTATAAGGGTACTATAAGGGTTCTATAAAGGGTTTAGGGTTTAGAGTTTCCGAAAATGAGGGATACCATCTTTTGGGGTGCTTGTTATAAGGCTCCTACTATATTTAGGGTACTATATTAGGGCCCCTCTATTTTCGGAAACTCCCATCTGTGTTTAGAGGGTTCAGGCACCCATGCGCAGATGTGAATAAGAGTGCCATGATAAGAAGGAGCATCGAAGATACTAAGGCCCTCATGCCCTCAACCATAAGCATTGATCCTTTCGAATGCGGAGGAAAAAGGAGCTCAGCAACGCCAAGCCCTACACCCTGAACATCTAAATCTTAAACCCCAATAACTCTCAACCACCAAATAAAACACACCCATAAAACAAAGAACACAAATCTAAGTCCTAAACAGTGCAACCAGGACACCAAGACACCTTAACGAATTTGCGTGCATGCAGTCACATGTTATACATGTCGCCTGACCGAGGAACCTCTTCACGTACGTCTTCCATCGTCTTCTGGTAGGGACCGACGACAAACTACACTATGAAGTACGATCCCTGCCCATGCCTGATGTGCACTCTGTCACCGACTATTTGTGGAACGATGTTGGTGTGCGGGTGAGAAATGTGTGAGGTCGGAAAGTATTGAACATTGGCAACAGTGCCAGCCCTAAACCCCAAACCCTAGACCCCTAATCGGCGGCCGGAGCCGCTGGAGCATCCAGCGACTGATCGCCAGATCCCAATTGGAGTTTAGGGTTTCGGGAAGATCCCGGATGTGGACAGAATCCTCGGTGTATTTGACATAGATCTTCCTCGGCAGCGAGCCACATCTGTGAGGGCATCCCAATTCTCGATCTTCGCCATCGAGGACTCGAAGCAATGGGGCATTCACACACTGGCCGAGGTCCTCGAGCGAATCACATGGAGCATCAACCTTGTGCTTGAAGGGACAGGCCCTTTTTTGAGTTTAGGGTTTAGGGTGTCCTGCCCAAAGCCGACAAGTTCTTCGCCGGGGTTTGCTAGGATCTGATTCAGCATACTGCACACAAATTTGAACGACAAGACAAAACGAATACTAATTATTCCGAGCCCGAAACCAAACTCCGAAATCGAAAGATTTGCCTCAACACACGCACACACACACACACACAAAGCCCCTAAACCCTGAAACCCTAAACCGAGAAGTGTCTTAACAAAAAGAAACCCTAAACCTGGAATCCCTGCAACCCCGTTGTTTGTTGGCTCCGGTTGGCTGCAGGCAGCCATGGCTACTGCTGCTGCTCTGCTTCGAGCCGCGGCCTTTGGTTCTCTCTAAGGGCTCGCAGGACCCAATAACTGTATACCTTCGCCGGTTTCATAAGAGTTCCAAAAAGGGGTTTATAGCAGGTGTTTTGTGAGTTAAGGGGTCAAAAAGACCACAAAATTAGGTACTTGGGCTCAGGGTACGCAGTAGTAGTAGTAGTAGTAGTAGTAGTAGTAGTAGTAGTAGTAGTAGTAGTAGTAGTAGTAGTAGTAGTAGTAGTAGTAGTAGTAGTAGTAGTAGTAGTAGTAGTAGTAGTAGTAGTAGCAGTAGTAGCAGTAGTAGTAGTAGTAGTAGTAGTAGTAGCAGAAAAAGTCGTAGAAAAAGTAGTAGAAAAAGTAGTAGAAAAAGTAGTAGAGAAAGCAGTAGAAAAAGTAGTAGAAAAAGTAGTAGAAAAAGTAGTAGTAGTAGTAGTAGTAGTAGTAGTAGTAGTAGTAGTAGTAGTAGTAGTAGTAGTAGTAGTAGTAGTAGTAGTAGAAGAAGTAGTAGTAGTAGTAGTAGTAGTAGTAGCAGTAGTAGTAGTAGTAGTAGTAATAGTAGTAGTAGTAGTAGTAGTAGTAGTAGTAGTAGTAGTAGTAGTAGTAGTAGTAGTAGTAGAAGTAGCAGTAGTAGTAGTAGTAGTTGTTGTTGTTGTTGTTGTTGTTGTTGTAGTAGTTGTAGTAGTAGTAGTAGTAGCAGTAGTAGCAGTAGTAGCAGTAGTAGTAGTAGTAGCGCAGGGTATGGGTGCGTAGTTCTCTGAAATTAGGGCCCCTTTCTCGGAGCCCAAATGCTGATATAA